GTTCAGCTGTCCAATGACGTTGTGTGAGCGGCAGTTCGAAAAGAAGCGGTGACACTTCACAGGTTTCGGAGGAAGCCTGTGTTAGCCTTCACCCTCCTAGCGTTGGTAGTATCGTGTGATTGGGTGAGTCCTAACTAGCGGGTGGAATTGGAAACAACCAAACTGGGGACATAATTAGGTTAAAATACAAAACACTGTGAAAAATATGAGAAAATCTCAGTTTTCAACCATTCGCCCAAGACATCTATGCTTAGTGCTGTGAAAAGCAGGCCTGCATGGTGGTATGTTGCCAGCTAGGCCAGCGGTCGCAACCCAAATGTTAAAAAGAGCGATTTTGTCCTTTCAACCAAAATCAAACCTTCTCAGCAGCAACAGCATTTTATGACTCCAGCTGGTTTCCTGATATATTTAATCTGCAACAAGAAACTATCAAACACTAAAAAGTCACGAGGCTGAAGTCAGCTTCTCAATCGCCAGCTTCTCCTTCCAATTTTCCTGTTCCACCTTAAATTGGTGCAGCAGTTGCATTCCTGCGCCTCAGGCACCATTTAAGGTGGAGCGGAAAAATTTGAACAAGAAGCTGGCGAATGAGCAGTGACTTCAGCCTCATAAAAACTCAAACGTTGAGAGACATTTTACTAGAAACTATTCCACTTTTGAGGAAAAGTTTCCTGCCAGAGATGCGAGAAAAGCAGCTATAGCTGAGCTAAAGCTTAATGCAGAGCAAAGCAAGTCTGGATTTTTGTTTATATTATTTATTTATATTATATATTTTAGCCTATACTAGCATATTAGCACATACTGAGACATATTTACAGCCAAGATGGTAAAAGTTTACTTCAATAAAATGAACATAAAATGTTGTGGCTGCCAAGGTGGCTTGATTTTTGTCGAAAGGACAAAATGGTTCTTCTTAACATTTGGTTTGTTGACCACTGAGCCAATCTATTTGAGATTACATAACCACTCCACATAATTGAAAGCAAGTGTGCTGATTTAAACGTTTGCCCAATGTTAATTAGTGCAGATAAGCTTGTTAGCTACATTAGCCTCACAGCTCCAAAATTAAAGAAGCAAATTTCAGATATCAAATGTGTTTTGGCTGATTAACTACATTTTGGGGTAAAAGGGAAAACGGGGTAAGGCTGCTGAGCTATCACTTGTTTCTCTGCTCATCACTGCTTTGCTTTGTAAAAGAAGCATGTTTTAGCCACACAGGACCTGAAGGAAGCCAGGCGGAGGGACAGGGGCGATTCCGGCCTCTCCAAATCTACCCCAGATCAGTGAGGGGAAGAGAGAGAGAGACACACATACACACGGGTGGGTCACAGCTCTAAGAAAGGGGGGTGGACAGGAAATTAGTGGAGAAGAAAAAAGAAAAAAGAGAACAAGAAGAAACACTCCCACTTGGAAAACAACAGGAATCTAACTGAACCTCGGAGGAATGCAGCAACTGAGCAATGCTGAAAATGCTCAGTCTCTATCTCTCTTTACATCTTTCTCTTTCCTTTTCTGTCACTCCTCTACCCCTTTTCTGTCTCCATCTCTCTGTCTTTCTTTCTTTCTCTCCTCTTTTTCTTTCTGCATCTTCTCTTTCTCTCCTCTCTCTTTCTGTCTTTTTCTCAGTCTCTCCCTTTCTCTCCCTTCTCTTTACTCTCTCTCTTCATCCTTCCTTCTCTTACCTTTCTCTTCTCTCTCCTCTTTTTCTTTCTGTATCTTCTCTGTCCCTCTCTCCCCCTCTTTCTTTCTCACTCTGTCCTCCCTCTTTCTCCTCTCTCTATTTTTCTTTGTTTCTTTCTATCCTCTTTTTCTTTCTGCATCTTCTCTTTCTCTCCTCTTGCTATTTTTCTCTTTGTCTTTTTCTCTCTCTCCCTTTCTCTTTCTCCCCCTTCCTTACTCTCTCTATCTCTTTGTCTCTCATCTCCCCACCACTCATTTCTCTCTTTCCTCTTCCTCTCTCTCATCTCCCTCTCTCTCCTCTCCTCCACCTCTAATTTCTCTCTTTCCTCTTCCTCTCTCTCATCTCCCTCTCTCTCCTCTCCTCCACCTCTAATTTCTCTCTTTCCTCTTCCTCTCTCTCATCTCCCTCTCTCTCCTCTTCCTCTCCCTCTCCTCTCCCTCTTCTCTTTGATCAGTCTGTTTGATGTCAGCCGGCTTCCAATCACGACAGCGTCTCTCTATCAAGTGTGATCAGTCGCTCAGCGCACACACTGCAGTCTTCAGCTCTAAACAATAAGCCTCCCTTTATTTTGGACCACGCAGCCCATAAATCTTTGCTTGAGGTGACGATCTGTCCTCGCCCCCCAACTCTGACCTCTGACCTCCACTTCTTGTTGAAGTTTCCTCAGCCTGGCCTCCAGAGCGGTGCTGAAACTCTTCTGCAAGAGAAGAGTGTGACGCAGAGCAGAGTGCTATATTTAGACACCCTTATCTCCGTCCATCCTGTGAGTGTGTGTCAGTTGGAGTTTGGCCACTGGAGGAAAGTTAAGATCTCAATTGTCCTGTACGCAGTACATGTCGGTCTAGTAGAGCTCTAATGTGGGTAAAGAAGGTACTGTTATTCATTCAGGACTAAAGAGAATACTGGACCAATGCTGGACAGCTTCAAAGATCCCCTGCACTCAAAAAGGTGTTTTTTAAATAGTTAACCCCTCTTTGAAGGCTTACTGTGATCATATAGATTAATATTTGTGTGAAATATGTTACTATAGCACACATTTTCCCATAGAAACCACAAACTTTCTTAGTAGGGGGCACTGGGAACTACTTACACGGGGCACAGATTAACACAGACTTTTTATGCTGTAGAAGGTCAAGCAGCGTGAGCTTTTGGCCACATTACTACATTTCCTAGCCGCAGTCTCCCACCAAAATTCGGAGCGATTCATCAGTGTTTTAAAGAGATCTGTGCCAAAGAGTGTTTTCAGGGCATGTAAGTAATTTTTTCAACACAAGTTTTTTTCCAGCTACTGAGCTGTTTGTATAAATCACAAAATCCAACATTATATTACTCTAATCAGCATCTTGTTGCAGACAACTTAGCACTGTTTTGAAGCAGCTGACAAGCTCACAGCAAGTGCTAGTTAGGCTTAAGTACAGCCTCCGTACTGCGGGGTTAGTTGTAATATGGTGTTACAGCTAAGCCACCTTTAGTTAACAAAGACAAATGTAGTATTTTTTTTTCCTTTGGTTCCATGTGTTTACACAGATTTTAAGATAAAAAAGAGAAAAACAGGGATTTTATTCTATAAAAATATATGTCCATTTTGAATTTGACGCCAACAACACATTTCAAAAAAGTTGGGACGGGGGCAACAAAAGTCTGGTAAAGTTGTGTAATGCTAAAAAAACACCTGGTGGTTGATTGGCAACAGGTGAGTAACATGATTGGGTGTAACACAAGCATCTCAGAGAGGCTGAGTCTTTCAGAAGTAAAGATGAGGAGGGGTTCACCACTCTGAGAAAGACTGCATGATCAAATAGCGCAACAATTCAAGAATAATGTTTCTCAACATAAAATAGCAAAGAACTTTTGTTTTTCATCATCTACGGTACATAATATCATTAAAAGATTCAGAGAATCTGGAGAAATCTCTGTATGTAAGGCACGAGGCCAAAAAACAGTATTTGCCAGCCGTGATCTCTGGGCCCTCGGCACTGCATTAAAAACAGTGGTGGAAATCACCGCATAGGGCTCAGAAACACTTCTGAAAACCACCGTCTGTGAAAAGAGCTCGTCACTGCATCCACAATCCACAAACTCTAAAACGCAAAGAAGAAACTGTACATAAACAGTATCCAGAAACGCTGCCACCTTCTCTGAGCCTCAGCTCATTTAAAATGGACTGAGGGGAAGTGGGAAAGTGTCCTGTGGTCCGACGAATCAACATTTGAAATTCTTTTTGGAAATCATGGATACTGTGTCCTCTGGGCTAAAGACCACTCAGCTTGTTATCAGTGCACAGTTCAAAAGCCAGTATTCATGATGGTATAGGGGTGCATTAGCACATGGCATGGGTGACGTGCACATCTGTGAAGGCACCATTAATGCTGAACGATATATACATGTTTTGGCAACATATGCTGCCATCTAGACAACGTCTTTTTCAGAGAAGGCCTTGATTATTTCAGCAAGACGATGTATAACACCTTCTGCATGTATTACAACAGCATTGCTCTGTATTAAAAGTGTCTGAGTGCTAAACTGGCCTGCCTGCAAAACTGCTGAGCAGCTGAAATCCTATATCAAGCAAGAACGAGAAAACATTTCGCTTTCAAAACTACAGCATTTGATCTCCTCAGTTCCCAAACGCTTACAGAGTGTTGTTAAAAGAAGAGGTGATGAAACACAGTGGTCAACATGCCCCCATCCCAACTTTTTGAAATGTGTTGTTGCCATCAAATTCAAAATGGGCATATATTTTTCAAAAAACAATACAATTTTTCAGTTTTAACTTATGTTGTGTTTATAGTATTTTCCTTCAAAAATATTATGTTTACTTGATTTGCACATCAATGCATCCTATTTTTATTTCTATTCTGCACAATCTCCCAACTTTTTTGGAAATGGGGTTGTATTTTTCAGATGTGATGTTCTGATCTTCTGCAGTTATCGGATTATTAAGCACATGTAAACACACTCAGTGTCTACACCTGAATAAGACACATGAATTAGACATATACTCAGTATTATAGAAGGCAGAAGCAGTAGGGGCACAAACAGAACTGAATCTAATATGTATTAACAGAGGCAAAGTGCATTTTGAACCGTTTCGAAACCTCTGCTCTGAGCACAATTCAAACAATTCTACCATCACTACCAGAGCCGGAGGGTCAGCTCGAGTTACACAGGCTCCATCGCTGGTGGGCAAAGGAAAAAACTCTTCACATCACGTTTGCTTTCCTCTGAGACGTGATTAGACTGTCTGTCTCAATAAACACATCTGCAGTATGCTGGAGATGAAGAGGGAGAGAGACAAGGTGAAGAAGGTTTAACTCACCTGTATTTTTTCCTTCAGACTCCTCAATTCCTCCTTCATCTGCTCTCTCTCCATCAGAAAACACCTCAGCAGATCTAACACAGAAAAACAAGCTGTGATTTAAAGGGCCTGCGTCCTGCAGTTACCTCTGTGTCATTTTCCCCTGAGGTCCACTTACAACATTTGTGTGGATTTATGTACCAAAAATAGTCATAATTCATTCATTTTCCAACCTCCCTTTATCCCTTTGACTTAAACAGGCTGCTTTTGTACTGTGCCTTTAACATTGATATATGTAAATTGCCTCTGCTCTGACTGGCTGGGCTGTAACATGCCTCATTTAAAAAGAAGTCCAGGCCGAAATACTGCTTATAACTTCAGCGTGAATGGGTGGGGCTAAACTGTATTACATTTGAATAGGTGGATATATGTAAATGTAAATATGTATATATGGTTTTCCATAAATATGGGCCCTTTAAAGGTCTATGATGTATAACAGTATCACCAGCAGTATGAGGCACTTTGAGAGCCTGAGTGTGTTTGTATCTGCATATGTATTTAGCTCTTGTTTGGGACTAAACATATTCGATGTTGTGGGGACATCTGAAAATTATCATTATTATAATTATAATTATTATAATTATTATTATTATTGTTAACAACAATATTGTACAATTACAAATAACATTATTAATAAATAACAATATCAAGCTTAATATTAATATTCTCAATTATTATAAATAGAAAAATAACAATGTTTTCAATATTTACAATGATATTTATAAAATTTATTATTAAAAACAATTGTATTAAAATATATATTTTTCCTCGATAAATGCAGCTTTTGGTTTCTCAGATTAAGCTTAAAGTTAGTTGTGTGCGTATTTTAGTATTTATCATTTTGTGGGGACTAAACATCCATGATGGTGAAAATGGACATGGAAGTATGTTTAATTTTTTAAATAATAATAATAATGATAATAATAATAACAAGAAGAAGAACAGGGATGCACAGTGATATCAGGATCATATCCATGTCAGCAGATATTTGCTATTCACATTGTATAGATGTTAAGATTCAACTGATATTTCAAACTGATATTTGATGACATATTTATTGAAAAAAAAAACCTTTAGATATTAGCATTAGCCCACAGTTCCCATACTAGTTAATCCCTAAAAAGTAATGTTTCCATATTTACAATAATATTTATTACAAATAATTAATTCAAATTTCAAATAATTGGTTCCCTAACAACTGCAGTGATGAATGCAGATGTTAAAGGTAGGTTTGGCTGAGGCCTGAGTGTGTGTGTGTGTGTGTGTGTGTGTGTGCGTGCACTCACCTGTCAGTGTGTGTGTTCTCTCCTCTGTACTGCTGATGCCCAGGGCGACCACACACTCCTGCAGGAGCCCCTGCTCCACCACTCCCTCACACACACTGCTGTTTGTGGGTGGAGCTACAGTGGGTGGGGCTACAGTAGGTAGAGTCACAGTGGCTAGGTCTACAGTAGGTAGAGTCACAGTGGGTGGAGCTACAGTAGTACTCACACAGCTGTCTTCCAGACTCCTCTGCCTGCAGGGGCTTATGGGAAGGCTGTTGACCTTTTTGGGAGACAGAGGGGCCTTCAAGTGTTCACCTCCTGTTTTTTCTGCTGATGGAGAGCCTCCTGGGCCAATCACGGGGCAGGACGTCCCATCAGGCGTGGGAGTGGGGGCCGAGTGGGCGGGGCTGGAAAGCGGGTGTGTTTTGGGGGGTAAAATGAGTGTGAGAGGAGAGGTGGGAGGAGTCTGGAATGGGTCAGAGGGAGTAACTGTGGGAGAGAAGACAGAGAATGGTAAGAGGACCTGAAAGAAACCCTCACTGAAGAGGAAAGCTGTTGCAGTGGAGTTGCGCATGCCTCAGTGGTGTATACAACGAGATTCGTCTGTGTTTATGTACTCTGTGCATAATTTGGATTTGACGGCCGAGCAGGAGCTTCATGCTAGTTTGATCACAAGTATTTTTCTTGCCGTCATGCTTTATAGCAGCGATGCCCAAAATGTCAATCGCACAGTTCATTCAAACAGACTATTAAATTTCAACACTTTCTTACTGCTTCTGGGGGCGGGCAGGTCAATGTGACTGACTGATGTGAAATGTGGCCACTGTCTCTTCACTGTCAATGTACTGCTCATTACCGCAGCTACGCCGCAGCCACCTAAAGCCCTGCGGTGAGTTTGTCTCTCTAGCAATCTAGAAAGTTTTCATTTACCGGTAGCCAGTTTGTGTTGCACCATATTTGCGTTGTTTTTTTGTAACCTACACTGACTCTTTCAGAAGACGAGTGCGAGACTGAGCACAAATAAACCGATAACTGACCTCTTCCATGCAGAGCGGGAGGAGGACTATTCTTTTACAATGTCACACTCCAAATGCATCTGCTTGATTTGCCAAGTAGCCGTCGCAGGTCCAAACAAGAGGAACATCAGGAGGCATTTTTGAACTATACACAGAAACTACGATGCCGAATTCCCAGCTAAAAGTGAAGTCAGGAAGAAAAATGTGGTCCAGACTACACAAACCAGCTGACACCATTCAGTGCAAATCTTTAGAATTAGGTTAGTGTGATTTTCAGCCATTTTCCCTGTAATGCTGAACATCAATACAGGCCACTCAAGCCACAAAAGTATGGGCACCCCTGCTCTATAGTCACTGATAGAACTCAATAATATAATGCTATATTCTCAGCAAGCAACTAGCTAACCTATGGCAGTAGTGCACAAATTGAGCAAACATTTCAAAGCACGTTATTTAAATGCAGTAAAATTAATAAAGTTCAGATATTTTAGTGAAGCAAAAAATTTCAATTCCAAAAATTAGCCAAATCTAAACATCTGAATGCTGGTATTTGTTTGAGTGTTTGTCATGTTTCATCACGGAAAGATGGCGAAAATGCTCAGGCTAACAATTCACTGCAATGCCGATTTCAGGACTGAAAAGAACTGTAAAGTATGGCAGTTTTGTGAGTGACAATTTTATACTTTGCTAGTATGAAACACAACTATGAAGGCCTGAATGTGGGGCGTGCTGCCCAGGATGCAGTGTTAAGACTGAGGACGCTACTCTGCTGCGTTTGGATCAAACTGGTTTAAAGCCAGAGCTGAAGAACATTTTGGACTTTTAACCGAACTGTTTTTATTTTTTTTTTTAGTAAAATCCTTTTGCTTTGAGTGACTCTATACTTCAATTCTGTTTATTTTATTGCAATAAATGATTGAACTTTCAATTTTGTCACTACCAAAACAATAATAACACAACCGAAAGTTTACCAAATGTTTCGATAGTGACTGTTTCGGTAGTTACAATTTTAGCCCATTTTGAGCAGAAAATGCTAGCCAGTCCATGACCAGCAAACACAGCTGTGAACAGCTGTACACACATAAAATCATCACGTTTTTTATAAAAACACACAAATGTTAATTTAAAAGCAGAAAATATGTGTTTCTGTAATTACAATTCTTAATGTTCCACACCAATTTCCTGAGTTTGGGACACGATTACTTCAAAACAATGGGATCTAACTGCTCACCATGTGGCCGTAAGGGACGGGGATGCAGTCTTACTTCCTGCTCTACAATGCAGGGGTGTGGCTAAAATAAGACTGGAATAAATAAAACTGTGTTTTGGTAGTGACATGAAAACGTGGGATAGCATTTTTTTCAATGTATTTTTATTGAAAAAAAAACTGACAAATCTACATTTTAAACGTCACTTTAAAAGACACAAAAAGATCAAAAAAAACATTATTTGAGCAAGTGTAAATTAAGGGGCTAGCCTCTGAGACAGACACCTGTCAAAATAAAGTACTCTATAAATGATGATTTTGTATATATTTAGCTTATTAGTATCTGATTTAAATGCTTAGGTTTAATTAGATGATGACATAATCCTAGTAAATATTTAAAATCAAAATACTTTGTTGTTTTATTACTTTTTTGCTGTAGGACTGCTAGTTCGGTATGATAATCCAGATATATGTATATGTTGTTATTCATCTAACACAAAACTTACTGACTTCCCTCAGCTGCCTTTGAATAATAAAACCTTTTCAAACCTCCAATACTGTCATCTTAAAGGAAACAGACAGCCGCACGCTATTGAAACAAGTTTTTCCCCCTTTGTTTTGTTGTTGATTTTTTCTCCCTGCAGTTGCTCGAATATTATACACACAGATATGATTCCAATATTATTATTATTATTATTATTATTATTACTATTATTATTATTATTATTATTACTTCATTACGGGTGGTTCAGATGTAGGCTCATAGAACTTAGCTACAGAAGGACACCACAAAGACGGCAATGCAAATTAGTGTGTGTGTGTGTGTGTGTGTGTGTGTGTGTTGGGGGGGGTTGTGCTGTGTCAGCAGGGCTGAGGGGGCAGCGGTCCTGGCCAATTGCAGCGTGCCGTGAGGAGAATGCAGAATAAGACATGCCAACTCTCATTCACCTTTCTCATTCCCTCTCTCTCTCTCTCTCTCTCTATCTCTCTCTCTCTCTCTCTCTCTCTCCTTGTCTCCTTACCTGGTTCACTTGTCCACTCTCTCTCTCCTCTGCCTCATTCACATTCCCTCCTTCACTGCACTCTCCTTTACTGTCTTCTGCATCTTTACTTTGTCCTGCTCTAAACACTATATGACTGTATGTAAGACATACATATAAGAAGGAGCTTATTTTCTCTTTATATACAGCTCTTTTAACCTTTATTAGTCTCTTTCTTTCTCTCTCTCTCTCTGTATCTCTCTCTTTCTCTCTCTCTCTCCCCCTTTGTCTCTCTCTCCTTTCCCCTCTCTCCCCTCTTCTCTCTCTCTGTATCTCTCTCTTTCTCTCTCTCTCTCCCCCTTTGTCTCTCTCTCCTTTCCCCTCTCTCCCCTCTTCTCTCTCTCTCTCTCTATCCTTCCCTCTCTCTTTAAGGCATCACTGTCTTTATTCCCTGAGAGGAAACTCTGCGACATCAACACACAATAATTCTCAAGTCAGTGTCTGTCTGGAGGCGTTTGTGTGTATGAGGGTCTCATGAGGGCAAACTGGACGCTGGACGCAGGACGGCGTGTCTCGGTGAGATTGAGTGAGTGTAATATTAGATTTGTTATGAGGTGAGAGCCATATTTCTCATCCTCCTCTCAGAATGAGTTGATCATCGTGTGCTGAATTCCGATTGAGGGTCAGACTAGGGGACATCTAGAGACCAGCATGTTTGTACATGTTCAGACTCAGACTTTTCAATTCATATAACACACACATAGAAAAGTATGGGACTTATTATTCTCACATATAGATATTTACACACACATATGCCTATATAGGTTATTACTATGATGGACTGGCGACCTGTCCAGGGTGTTTACTGCCTTCCATCCAATGACTGCTGGGATAGGGTCCAGCAACCCAGAAGGATAAGCAGCCTAGATAACGTGTGTGTGTGTGTATTGGTCATTATTACACATACATTACTGTACACAAGTCAGAGACCACCCTTCATTTATTTAATTTAGAGTCAAAACAGCCACCAAGCACAAATTATTCATTTTTCAGTGTCAGGAAAGATATTTAACAGAAACAAACACATCAACAATGAAATACAATCTGAAGTATTTCAGTATTTATTGTGTCTACTTTTCACAAATATCACAGCGTCCATTCCTTTCAGGAGACTCACTTTCAGTTTCTTAAAGAAATCTGCTGGGATATTTTCCACACCTCCAAAGTTCAGTCTTAGAAGTTGGTTGATCATTTTCTGAAGTAATCAAACACATCCAGTGATGTTGAGGTCTGGACTCTGGGGTGGTCAGTCCATTGTTCAGCTTCTTTGTTTGATGTGTCCGTCTCTTTTTCTCAGTGAGGTTCTTCTTGCCAGCTACATATCCTTTCAGACCCATAGCGCTAAATTGTCTTCTCACAGTGGAAGGATGGACAGAAACACCTGTGGATGTTTTCAGATCTGAAGCAGCTTGATTTTCTCCTCTCTCTCAAAGATGGAAGCTTGAAGTGCTGTTTATCTGATGGGGGCAGTTTTGATGGCCTCTCAGGTCTTCCAGGTGGTTGTTGGGAGTCACATTTTCTTTGCAACTCCAGTTTTGGAAACTCCTGTTTGTTTGTTTTTTTTCACTTTGTCTCTCTCCTTCCTGTGCGTTGTGTCTTATATCTAATCTCTTCAAAAAATCTCTTAACAATGAATACTTTGTACTTGAAGGCTATTTTCGACTCAAAACTCAAATAAATGAAGGGTGGTCTCTGACTTCTGCCCAGTACGCATGTCTATATAACATGTATGAGTTATGTGTATAACCTCACATTACACTGTTAGAAATAAAGGTTCTGTGCAGGTACATTTTTCATTCATCAAGGTACAAACAACGTAAATGTTCCCTCAAAGGTACAACAGTGGTTTTAAGGTCTGATTGTGAACCTTAAATGAGTTTTTCCAGGTGAAAAGTTCATATTTGTACCTTTTCATAACCTAATGGTTTAAAACAGAACAGTAAAATAAAAAGCCTGGAGACGAGACGGGGTGTGTGGAGTCAGTACAACTTAGAAAATATAATTTCAATGGATTATGGTACAGTTATGTTCCCTGACTTAAGGTACTGAGATGTACCGTTGAGGGTCCCACCCCAGTGACAGTTTAGTACCTTTATTTCTGAGAGTGTTTGATTTAGTATAAAAACAAATATGGGTGTGTAGGTTATAATTACCTGGGGATCCATGCCGCTCCTTGCTGGAGTAGTTCCCCATTCTGCAAAAGGTCAGCTCTCCCTGTGAGTGAAAATGATAATAGTTCATTTCTGAGTTATTTTACAACAGCAAAATTAGTGATTTATTTCCAAGAAGTAGCTAAAAAAAGTGTAGCCCAAGGGCACGAACCACTGGTCAGAAACCTTTAAAGCTCACACCTTCTATTCATCTATTGGCTTCGCTCTGATGGTCACTGTTACAAAATGATCATAATAGAAATTACAAAAAGATGGTTCTTTAGTAATGACAATAGTTCTATTTAGAACAATGAGGTTCTTCTGAGTGATGGAGAATGTGTTGTATATGGTTCTATATAGCACCAAAAGGTGTTCTGCTCTTGCTTTGATGTTGAGTTTGTAACAATTTTGGTGCTATATAGAACCATTTTCAAGAGTTTCTATATAGAACCAAATACAACACATTCTCTAACAAATCTAAGCACCATTTCACCATGCAGAGAAATATTTAAGCATGAAATGGTTCTATTTAGAACGTAAAAGAGCCACTGCCTTTACTAAAGAACGCTTAAGGAACCATCTTTTTTAGGTGTGTACCTTATAGCTCCACTTCATACTGTAGTCCATCTGTTTCTCTGCATACTTTGTTAGCCTCCTTTTACTCTGTTCTTCAGTGGTCAGGACCCCCATAGACCCTCACAGAGCAGGTACTACTTGGGTGGTGGATCATTCTCAGCACTGCAGTAACACTGATGTGGTGGTGGTGTGTTAGTGTGTGTTGTGCTGGTCTGAGTGGATCAGACACAGCAGTGCTGCTGGAGTTTTTAGACACCTCAGTGTCACTGCTGGACTGAGAATAGTCCACCAACCAAAAATATCCAGCCAACAGCGTCCTGTGACCACTGATGAAGGACTAGAGGATGACCAACACAAACTGTGCAGTAGCAGATGAGCTATCGTCTCTGACTTTACATCTGACAAGGTGGACTGACAAGGTAGGAGTGCCTAATAGAGTGGACAGTGAATGGACACAGTGTTTAAAAACTCCAGCAGCACTGCTGTGTCTGATCTACTCGTACCAGCACAACACACACTAATACACCACCACCACGTCAGTGTTAACTGCAATGCTGAGAATGATCCACCACCCAAATAGTACCTGCTCTGTGAGGGTCCATGGGGGTCCTGACCACTGAAAAACAGGGTAAAAGGGGGCTAACAAAGTATGCAGAGAAACAGATGGACTACAGTCTGTAACTGTAGAACTACAAAGTGCACCTATATAGTAAGTGGAGTTGATAAAATGGACAATGACCGTAGAAACAAGGAGGTGGTCATAATGTTATGCCTGATCGGTGTATCTATAACTAAAACGAAACAGAATTACTGAGAAAATACCTTCAGTTATCGTTTTTTTCTGTGCGTGAATCACAGTTTAGAAGTGTGTCTCCTGTGTTTGGCTGTTTTAAGGAAAGCTGGAGCCGAGCTGAGCTCACTCTACTGTTGTGCTAATTTTATTTTACCCTCATCAAAGGCAGGGGTTTCTAATAAAGTGGCCAGTGAGCTTATATTAGTAAATGTTCAAGTGTGAACAGGCAGAGCTGAATTACACAAAATCAGACTAAAACTGTCAGTGTGTGGCTTTAAAAAATGTAAGAAAAGCAGACATGTGGGTGGTCTAATAGGAAGCCGACATCAGTGCGAGTGCATCAACATGGGAATTGTGGGCCGGTGCCGACATATGATATCCTCCACGTACAATAACAATGCCAGTACTGATACGGGGACATAAACATCCGTAGAATATAGACATTCGGATTAGATCCACTTTCATTAGCATTGAAAAGAAATGTAATATATACAGTGGGTACAAATGCAAATAAATGTCTAAATAAATAAATAAAATGCTGACATTTTAGTGCAGCAGCCCAGTGTCATCTAAACATTCTGCTCTTCTACAGTAAAATAAATCCATCATCAAATACTGGTTTGAATGGTCCACTCATAAAACTTGTGCCATTTTATGTACCAGAAATAGTCATAATTCATTTTCACAAGACGATTTTCCCACCTCTTTATATTTCTTACAATAAAACAGGCTGTTTTTGTTTCTGTGCCCTAATACTGATATAAGAAATGATCTGACTCTAAAACACTCCTTATAACTTCAACATCAATGGGTGGGGACTTATCATCTATAGGCAGAATAAGTGGATATATGTAAATGGGTTTGACATCATGGACAGTGTTAATTGAAAACGGGCTGTTTTTGCAACGCAGTGTCTCGACACCTTGGCTGACTTCTTAACTCAGGCTAATCGAGAAATCCCGCTCTGTGAAAAATCCATCAGGACTGGTTCTGCTGTCAGGAGCACCATTTCAGTGCAGGATTGAAACCTGAAATAATCTCTTCCCAGCATTTTAACCAAGCATCGACATGTCTGATTCTGTCAATGAAGCGCTTCGGTATCAAATATCACAGGGCCGCGATAACAAACACTGTTCTTACATCACCTGTGTTCATAAACAGACTTGCTTTTCGGCCCAAAGAGGAAATGCACTGCAGGCCACAGTGAGAGGGATTTGAATGAGCTTCCATGGAAATGCAAAGGCCTGTGGTCATGCTTGGAAAGCGCAATGCTTCTGCACAAAGCAGAGGGGCAAAGTGGGACAGACAGAAAGAAAGAAAGACCAAACTCATGGTCCACAGTGAACGAGTCCTGTGCGGCTCCGCAATATATCATTTGTTAATCTGTATCCCAGCACTGGCTTTACACTGATATACACTGAAAAATGTTGTGCATTTTGAGCATCCTGGATAACACCAGAAGTTCTAGATAAGAGTTCTGTGGTTCTGAAGAATCGAGTTTCGATTATCTGACAAATCATTTGGGTCAAAATAATGCAGGCCAATATTTCACCTGGGTTACATCAAGAGGTTTGATATATATCACAAGATGCACTTGTATGCAAAGGTTCGAATACCTCTGGTCAAATGACATGTTTTGTTGATTTTCAACAGGAAAATAAAGTAAGTGCTCTACGGAGAACTTAAATGTGGCATTTTGGGTTAACTTTTCATTAAACACATTGGAAAAAATAAAACATAAAATATAAAATGTGCCATAACTTTTGCACAGGCCATACTGTTGTTTTATTTGTTAACATTTAATTAACCAGGGGTACCCAAACTTTTGCATACAGTGTCTGTGTCATGCACAGCAGTGGCGAATCATGAAATAATAAAGCGAGGCTTCACTTCAGGCCAGAAATGACCAAATTCCACTACGTTAATGCTAACTTCTGTTAACACCCCTATGGGATTTCTAATAATATGTTAGCTCTAAGCTTACACTAGCGCACATTAACTTCTTTTGGCCATTCTAGATTAAACACAGAAAAGCTTAAAGGTTGTAACAGACATATTACCATATAATTCACCTTAACTATACCAGTTCTATTTTTAATAGTTACTATAGAAAAGAGTGAAGAGTCCTGGCACAGAGCTGTCATCATTGTTTTTCATTTCTAACAACTAAATGAAACCTTGTTAGGACTGCAGCTTGTGTTCACAGTCAGTGAGTATGTTTACATGCACTCAATAATCCAACCATAATCTGATTACTGCAGTTATCTGATTATTTAAATGGTCATGTAAACAGCACACAGCACCAATTTCGTAGGTCAAAATAAGGTCTAGAGGGCTCCCGAGTGGCACAACCATCATTCACCCTCCTGGCGCCAGTAATATTGTGTGATTGGGGGAGTCCTAACTAGTAGGTGGAATTGGAGACGACTAAACTGCGGAGAAAATTGAGTAAAAATCCCAAAAAAAAGAAAAGAATAAGGTCTAGAAATCTGATAAAGAGAGCTGGATTTCAGCTCAGTAATCAGATTTCTCAGTGCATGTAAACTTTTACTCCGATTTCTTTCGGATTTTTCAGTCTGTGCATGTGCGAAAAGGATGGCGGTACTGGAAATAAGTGAGCAGCTTCGCCGCGAGATGCCGCAAAACACTTTTGGAGCGACATTGAAACCAAATACATGCTTGACGAAACAAAGGATTTAAATATTTTTCATCTTCTAGATGATGTTCATATTTTCAGGTAAAGTGGCGCGATGTTTGAAAAAAAGAAAAGCACCGGCATGAAGTTTAAGTTTTACATTGCGTTTACGTCACGTCTTCTTCTATGAGTTTACTGTCCGGTTGCAAAGCAGAAATCCGATTACTGTCTGACTTAGAGTTTCCCATTATCTGATTACTCAAGTGCATGTAAACATGTTGATCGGATTACTGACAAAATCTGATTTTCTGCAGTTATCAGATTATTAAGTGCACGTAAACGCACTCAGTAACATATCTAGAACGTCCAAGGCCTAGAGTGTTTTTCCTCATAAAATTGGTCTCACCCATTGTAAATCACAATGTGATCACTTCTTAATTATGTTGGTGGTTATTCTGACATGTTAGGCCTTCACTTCAGCTCCTGAAGTCCTAACCAATGGTAGAGCTTGCTAGGCTGTAATCTACTTAGACACCACAGAGAAAACAATCCTGATTGGACAACTTTCCATTGGCTGTTTCAATATTTTAGCTCAATTTCTTCCATCCAAAACTTAGTTGGAAATAAGAGTGTAACCACAATGCTTGTAGAGTTTAAATACAACCATGATCATTCTATTAAGAAATCATTAGGCCTTCTCTGAAGGCCTGGAAGGCCCTGAGGGTTCCCCACTGATACACACTGTCCTGTTATACTGATATAAGATCAGCTCCCCACAGCCAAATGCTAACCTCAACCATAATGAAAGAAATGGAGAAACTGGTCTCGGATCAGCGTAAATCATGTATCACTGTTGAGGCCTCACTGGGAAATGTAGGCTGATGAAGAAGGACAGCGAAAGAGAACGAGAGCAAGCAAAAGACGATGTAAACAAGGGAATCGCCTATGTGCTAAATTGTTTTAGGCCACACAAGCAACAGGCCACGATGGTGAAATGAAATCATGTTAAATTAATCAGTTAAATTACATTTGCAGAAGGTCACCAGAGGAGTGGTGAGGATTTAATTAAGTACGTGTCAATGTGGATGTGTCTCAAAATATCAGTGAACCTGTCAAACAAGTTCTGCAGATGTTTGCTTACATTAAGTAGGGCTGGAACCTTTTCGTTAATTTAGATTACGATGAAATATGTGCACGTGCAGCTGTCCGTCCCAAAGGACCTACCTGACAGCTGCGTACTTCTGAAGAATGCGGTCTGACGGGACTTTAAGTACAACTATTTAGTGATGTGGAAGCTTTCAAGTCTCCTTATATGGTTTCTTCTTCTTGGCTGGGGTGAGTAGAGCAGCCTATAACCATCTTTTATAGTTCAGTGAATAATGACTCAAGCAAAAGTAGCTTCATCCAGGTACAGCCAGTATCGCTCAGCACAGAAAGTGAAGTTTGTTGTGAGCTATTACATGAGACTGATTATGTAGGTCTGATGTCTGAGACATTGTTTTTTGGCCTAAAACACATTTTAATCAGTTTATTTTAATCTGTTCATGACGGAAGGATACTAGAAGGGTGTTCTAAGGCAAAACAGTCCCCAAAGAAAACTTATTTTTTTCATATTTACCACTATTTGCCCATCATCAAAAACTCAAGACACATTGTTTAAATGATTTAAACTGTAAATGCAGATAATGGTGACCCCTGGTCCATATCACCACCACTGTAAAGAAATCTGAGTGTGTAAATTCCTCTACAATGAGCCATTTCACATCAAACCACTCTGAATGACTTTGTTTACAACTCACCCGCTGAATTGTGCAGAAATTTTGAAATATCAGTGGAATTCCCCTTTATAGCTCCAGAGGCGTGAGCGACAGCAAAGCAGCACAGAAGCTAAAGCAACGAAACTGAATGAACTCACCAAAGAAAGCTCAATTTGAAGGAAAAATGTTGTAGAATAAGTACAATATTACCTCTGAATGCTTAGAAAAGTCCAATATACTTAAGCTAAAGCGGGCTTCTTGTTTGCCAGCTTCTTGTTTGAATTTTAACGTTCCACCTTAAATGCTGAAGCAGTTACATTCTAACCGCTGCACCATTTAAGGTGGAACGAGAAAATTCGAATAAAAACCTGACCTCAGCTTCATTTTCAGAGAAGTCTTTAGCTCCACACAGAGCCTCTCTTCACACCTTTGGCTTTCCAAAGTGGAGAACACAGCTCGGCGTAGTCCACCTCACAAACTCCCTCAGAGAATCATGAGCTGTAAGCGGCTATAAGTGGGACTAGAGCCTCACCAAACACCAAACCACCAGCGGACAAACGGAAAACCTCACACTTACACAACATGAGACTCATCACAGACACATCAACTCGTAGTATAAATCTGTTACAGACCTGTTTGGCTAACACGCTCCGGCTCTCCGCTTGTTTTAAAACTCATCCATCGTTTCCGTACAGACGAAGCTCGAGCGCATCTCACACGCTGCAGCGCTGTTGTTTTGTTTACACCCGTATTCAGACAGGCTCCGCCTTCTGCGATGGGGATGGCGGTTAGTTCGTGTCTATACGTTGCCCAACGACTATGCCGTGATACAAATCCGTAACCTACATTTCTGAATATGTTCCGGTTCTCCGTTTGGTTTTAAAACGTTTATATATCCGCACAAAAAATTGAGAGCATCTCACATGTTGTAGCGTTGTTTATTTCCCACCCGCATTCCGACACGCCCCGCCTTCTGTGCAAGGATTGGCGAGTAGGTCTCGCTCCTGCGCTATGATTGGCTAGAAGTTTATACTCACAATAGCTGGTGTGTTCTTTACATGAAGTTTGACACTGTTAGCCAGTCCTATTGCAGGAGGAGGGACATTAATAACCAGTCCTATTGCAGGTGGAGGGACGTAATTAGCCAGTCCTATTGCAGGAGGAGGGACATTAATAACCAGTCCTATTGCAGGAGGAGGGACATTAATGACCAGTCCTATTGCAGGAGAAGGGACGTAATTAGCCAGTCCTATTGCAGGAGGAGGGACATTAATGACCAGTCCTATTGCAGGAGGAGGGACGTAATTAGCCAGTCCTATTGCAGGAGGAGGGATATTAATGACCAGTCCTATTGCAGGAGGAGGGATGTAATTAGCCAGTCCTATTGCAGGAGGAGGGATATTGACCAGTCCTATTGTAGGAGGAGAGACATTATTAGCCAAACCTATTGTAGGAGGAGGGACATTATTAGCCAATCCTATTGCAGGAGGAGGGGCATTGCTAGCCAATCCCATTGCAGGAAGAGGACAGTACAAACCAATCCTATTGCAGAAGGAGGACACTACTAACCAATCCCATTGCAGGAGGAGGACACTAATAAGTAATCCCAGTAGTAAGATGGACATTAATAGCTAATCCAAGCACAGGAGGGATAGCCAATCCCATTACATCTAACTGGGAACTACTAGCCAATCTTATTTCAAGGGGAGGGACACCACTAGCCAATCTTCACTGCAGGTGAAGAGACACTACTAGATATTTCAGCAAAGTGGACATTAATAGCCAATCTTAGTCCAGGAATATAAACTACTAACCAATCATACTGCAGGTTATGAACTAGCACCCAATCTTAGTGCAGGAGGTGGGCCCCAGTCAGTCCTTCAGTCCTTTAATTTTAAGATCCTGAGTAAAAGTCTGTCCCTTGGCAGTGGCGCCCTCATCAGGAAAGGAGAATAAAGCAAACTCGAAGTGGCACCAGTGCAGCTGAGGACATACTGCTGAAACAGACCACTGTGAAGGTCTATAGGTGTTGATAGACTTCATGGACGTGTTTGTGAAAATAACTAGCAAACAAAGACTTTCAGACTGAGAAGATCCAACTGTCCTTAACTGACTTTAGCCAAAGATGCTGTAACTTTGTGGCTCTGTTCACTGCTCCATCCGAAAATTTGCACTGTATAAAAGTTTTCATTCTGTTGCCAAAGGATGGCATAATTTGACTGGCGTGAGTTGGGCAGCTTGGGTCCAGCAGCAAAATGTGTAATGCTGAAAAACACAGGAGATCAATCTATAGAGGAGTACAAATAGTTATAAACAGTCATGGGAGTAAAAGCAGCAATATAATATGCCCCTCCTACACACAGTGCAAAGACTAACTGTTTACACATATATAAACATGAATGAATAAAGTGGCAAAGTTGTTTTTTTTCATCTTTTTTTATTGTTCATTCAAACAGTGAAAGCACAGAATTGAAAGAAAATCAGAACGATAACAAAATTATACAGCTTCAGAAAGGTTGTATGCTGGGACAGTTCTACATCAAGCTTAGCTAACGTTTTTATGAGTTGTGGGGTCTTTCTGAGGGCTAAACTCCCCTATTTTTTCTAAATCTCTGCATAATTAAATAATTAAAACGTAATCAGAGTCATTTGGAGTGGACTGATAAGCAGTACTAGAGAAATTTGCCTTTCCAGAATTGCTCACAGTGGTGGTGATAGGAACCAGACGTCTGAAGAATTTAATAACTCTAAAAGCTCCCACAGAAAGCTGTTACATGAAATGGTTATAAATATGTTGCCTGATGCTTGAGACATTGTTTTATGGTAATTTTGAAATAAGATTTTGGCCTTAAAACAAAGTCCATTCATGGCAGAGAGGTACATGTAGGGTGTGGTAAAGCAAAATAGTTCAAATAGAAAATGATTTTTTATGATTTACCACTATTTTGCCATCATCAACATTACACATAACAACTCAGAAGACATGTGTAGGTTCACTGATGGTTTAAATAAAGTGGCTATATTTGTGTTGTAGTCATGGTGACCCCTGGTTCCTATCACCACCACTATAAAGAAATCTGAGTTTCTCTATAGTGAGCCATTCACGTCAAACCACTCTGAATGACCATCCACGGGACTTATTTTGGCCTACTGCTGACCAAACAACAGGCCTACCGATCCGTAGGCCTGCTCCTGAACTGACTTGAGCTGATTAGCGTCTACGACCTCCAGGGCAGACGGTTATTCTTCCACGTCTCGAGCCTAATCTCTAAAACTCTGACTTGGCGCACACAAACATACACAGCTGGCTCTGTTGCCGCTCGATTAGACGGATTAGAACAATCCTTAATGTAGCCCTTCCTCTCGCTATCATCATTAGCGTCCTTTGGGGGTCTTAATCAATTTGGGACATTTCACAAAGGGGCTACATATTAGGAGGAACACACTTTATACTATCACCATTCAGTAACTTCCAGGCCAGGCTTGATTGATGATACGGCTATTCAACTTTAGCATTTTGGCTTAGCCTGTTTGTCCGTGATATGACCGATTCATTTTCATGTGAATCAGTCTAATGGAAGATGCATTCCTTGCTTAAACACATTGTGTGAATATCTAATGAAGATACTTTATAAACCATACAGTTAGACACCAAAAACATCTTGTCAGCACACTCACAGTAAATGATTACCATCATCTTAGCATACTAACAAGCTAACACAGCCTTCTTTCTGAGACGTCTGCTATCCTCCAAGTGATTCAGCTCACTCAGTCTCCTTCATTTTGGGCTCTAGCGGCTGGTCTTAACCTGGGATTACATGTGCGTGAGGGCGCACCTGGTCTAATCCATAGTGAGCAAATTAGCTTAGCGCTCATATCCGTCATCATGGCTGCCGTGATGATGCCAGCTCCATCTTACTGACTAATTAAAGACACCGCAATGAGGCTGCGACTTAAAAACCAAACATGCAGCTTACATAAGCCTGTTTACATGCCGACGACTCGGCGTCTGTTCTGTTCGGTCTTGAGTTAGCAATTAGGTTTCAAATGATTCTTTTTAAAGTCTGATCAGAACCAAGACCATCTTGGGACTGGCCCTAGATGGCGTAAATGGCTGTTTGGAATGCTACTGTTGTTCCAAAATCTGTGTTGCTCCAGCTAAAATGAGGCTGCCATCTGCTGTAACAAGTGCTTCGAATCTTGAACTTGTAGGCCATTTGGCTCCCAGCTAGCATGAAATCTCCCCATTTTGACAAGCCTGCCTAAGTACAGCCTTACAACTATTGAGCTAGTGCTGTTTCTATGTGCATCTCTATGGTTTTTGCATAAAGAATGTTACATCCAGTTCAAATAGACTGGTTTAGAAGAGGTTAAAATGCAAAATGCACAATACAAAACATTACAATGGCTGATCATATTACAAATGAGCTCTGTCTTCCATATAAAACCAGCTGCTGCTGTAACATCTATCAGCCATTTGGGAAAAAGAGCAGCTGTCTCATGGCATTCATCTTCAGGGCTGACAAAGGCACTTTTCAAGGCTTTTTATAACACAATATTGAAAGATTTTCTACTGAATCATCTTCATCTTCATGTCTAGAACTTAGCTCAAAGCTGTGGGACTAGACTCTGGTGATTTCTAGTACTCTCACCACATGGAATGGCATATGGCCATTAATGTGAGGGAAAGCATCACGACTGCTTGAAGACTTTTGGAATAGCTTGATCTGCTTCATACAGTTCTTCAGTATTCATCTTCAAGGACTGCTGGTTATTCATCTGACCATTTATCAAGGATTGTTTGCTCTTCTGAAAACTGCTGTAAAAACCAGCACAGACGCTGGTCCAGGCTGGTCTATGCTGGTTTATATTGTAAAAATGCTGTAAAAACTATCACTGATGCTGGTCCAGGCTGGTCTATACTGGTTTTGCTGGTGACCAGGCATGCTGATCTATGTTGTTTTTTTCCAGCAGGGTTAGTGCTCTAATTATGTGTGTAGTAACAATGTTAAGTCATCAGTGGACTAGGGCTGCAACTAATAATCAATAATCAGTTCATTTATTGACTATAATTAATTGACTTATCAAACCACTGGATCTTCTGTCGTTTCCTCCCTCATTGCCCTACTGCAGCATGCCTGCACAAGTTCCTCTGCAACAATTTCTTATTTTCAACGGAGGCCTTACGCTTCTTGTAGCTTCTTGACTGTGTGCATCATAGGAACTTTTTTAATTTATTTTTTTTTTTCCCCTAAATTAGGCCACCCCAATTCCCATCCAATAGCTAGGCCTCTATCTGTCACATGATGCTACCAAGCTGGGAGGACGAAGGCTAGCTTATGCTTCCTTTGAGAAACATGAAGCTCCAGCCTATTTCTGAACTGCCGCTAACACAACACGACAGCTCAATACGCTTGGAGGAGAACACTAACTGCCAATTCTATTTCGTGAGCTAACAGAGGCCTGCGTTGGCTGAGCACATTTGTTTTTAAGTAAATGTTATTGCAGCCAAACTACAGTACAAATTCGCCCATCAAAATTTTGTCCAGGTTTTGATCTACCTCTAGTGAGCAAACAATCCTGGAAAATGGAGAATGTTGTCACATCAAACACTCAGTCACTGGCTAGAAAATGGCCTCTTGTGTTCCAGTCAGCAGAACTTGACAGAAAAATATGACCAGGCATGACTGGCTCAGAGCTACATCGCCATCTGCTGGACAAACCCTCTATCTAAGGCACTTTAGGGGTAGGGCTATGCTGGCCGAGGTTCTGCAGTTGGGTGGCCAGGGCGGAAGTTGTTTGACCACGTGGAGGCGCTGTTCTCTCCAGCCACTGGAGCACTCGGGCGGAGGGGTGGTGGTGCAGGGCGAGCTGATGAGAGCTATAACCCGACATCCCAATACCCAGCGCCCCAAGGAGCACAGCCAACCGTGGCATCACCACATCACCAGCCCTGTAGGTGATCGTCTGCATGGCCTGGGTCTGGGTGAGAGAGAGAATAAGACTTTATTAGAAACAGCTATCTTGTACTTCCAACCACTTTCTACTCTATACATTTACAAATAACATTGCTCTGCATTACATATTAGTCCACACTGCCGAGGACAGTGATTTGTCATTTTTGGTCACTTGTCCAGATACTCCATAATTTCAACATTGAGATAAATAGCTAGTGAACTCTGCTAGATGTCCTGCTGTCTTGTGCTGTTGTGAGTGAATGGCTAGACTTCTTTTCTTCTTCACCTAACGTACCAGAGTAGCAATCATTTCCACCAATTCCATACTGCTGAGGACATGTGGTCTTTTTTATCACTAATCTCTACTTGTTCTGAGATATTTTCCTCAAACCCACCTTCATTTTACTCTCCACAAGTGCAACACTAAAAAATATCCAGCTAGCAAACTTGGCTAACTGTTTCACTGGTTTGTGCAATTGCAAGTGAATGGCTAGACTTTTCCCACCTTCACACTTAGTACATTTCTGCCACTTAGTGTACTGGAGTAGCAGTGGTTCAAAGTTCAAGCTTACTGTTAATACTGGATTGAGGAAAATACTTATCTATACCAATCAAATGTTTGATTTTGATAATTAACATTACTTTTTTACTCACCCAGAGCTATGTCAGTATTACTATTATGTTAAGGGTGGTCTACAATCAAGGTCTAGAGCAAGAATCACTAATTTTCAAACTTTCCCTTTCAAGGCCCACCTATTCATCACTAGAACGGCCTAAAATGTATTTTTGAAAAAAAATAAATAAAAATAAATACAGCTATGTTTGTGTGGCTATTCTCGCACTATACAATGTCTATTCGTGAACATAAAAGGTCATAAGTGGAATGATTCTACAACACAGTTTTTTATACAACTTTGCTTGTGAGTGGACAACTGAAAAGTCTAGCTCAGGGGTCGCAACCCGAATGTTAAGAAGAGCGAGTTCGTCCTTTCAACAAAAATCGAAATCACCTGGGGAGCCACAACATTGTCCATTTTGCCATCTTGGCTGTAAATGTGTCTCAGTATGTGCTAATGTGCTAGTGTAGGCTAAAAATATAATATAAACGAAACTTCAGACTTACTTTGCTCTGCTTTAAGCTTTAGCTCAGCTATAGCTGCCTTTCTCACATCTCCAGCAGGAAACTTTTTGTCAAAAGTAGAACAGATTCTTGTAAAATAATCTTTTCATGAAGATGAAGTCACTTATCATTCGCCAGCTTTGTGTTCAAATTTCCCTGTTACACTTTAAATCCTGCCTGAGGTGCCAGAATGTAACTGCGAATGAGAAGCTGGCAAACGAGAAGCTGAATTCTGCCTCACAACTTTTTAGTGTTTAACAGTTTCTCAGTGCAGATTAAACGTATCAGAAAACCAGTTGGAGTGATTATGAATGCAAATAAGTCTGTTTGTCTCCAAATTATCAATGTTCATGTTAAATCTTTCTCTTTGGCTTTTCGTTAGCTACTAGCTAGGCAAGATTTTTGTCTGTGTTTTGTTTGTGTCTATGGTGACCAGCAGTCTGTGTGCCAACCTTCAGGGTTAAAGGGGGGATTAGCAGTTGTACATTAACTCCAGTGTTTAAGACCATTTATTGTTAAAACTGTGTTTGAACGATTAGCAGAGCTTTATTTTACTGCAAATGAGGATTATTTTATTTTTACCTAAAAATCTAACTCTGCTGTAGAGCCACAACAGTGCAGTAAAAGAGCCGAACGTGTTTACTGTTCTTTTTTATTATTAAATCAATTTTTTTCACTGATTTTTTTGACAAAGTGCCTTCACCAGACCATTACAAGACCACTAGCCCGCTCTCAGTATTAGACCGAGGATCACCAAAGGGTGCTTTGCAGCCTACGTGTGGTGCACGGCCCAGTGGTTCAGAAACCCTGCTCTAGGGGATGGCTATCACACAGCTGGACGTGCAAAGTAGAGGGAGTCCAATAAAATATAAAACAAATACTATTGTTTCCTATACCAGTTATGTCTAGAATTTGTAGAAGATATTAAAGTGCCAAATAAAACCTCTCCTATTGTAATATAGGACAATCAAATATGTGCAGTCATATCAGGGACTCAGCGAAATGCAAACCCACTCAGCTAACTGACTGTTTCTCTCTCTGCTGAGATAAATCCAGTTAATCCTCAATCACTGACAGGACTGCTTGTTCTTGAGAAGACAATGATGCATTTAGACACAGATTTAGCAACATGCAGAGGTGTGTGAACAAAATGAAGGGAAATCATTTGACGAGGTGACTTTCACTGTCATCTGTGTGGGAGGTGTGTGTCTGTGTGTCTTTTAAAGAATTAGTCTGATTGTAATGAGAGCTCCCTGAGCAACACAAACGCTCATACAATGTCCCTAAAAATTCCTCTATAGCTTTCAGAATTCAATCACACCAAGTGAAATCAGTTCTGAGGGGAATTAGACACGGCCCTTTTTCATTTTGGGATGGGACCAGCAAGGAGATGCTGAGTACTATTTGGACGGGATTAGTTGTACATGGTTTGGCCCAGTAATGTAATTATTCCCAGAGTATCTCTGTGAGTCCAAATTTGTCATGTCAATAAGTTTTATGGACTATCATAAAACGAACAGTGAAAATATCCCTAGATTATGTCCACCCTGAAGGACATATATGTTAAACTCAGTGAATATATACAAATTTGCAGAAAAATGCCATCAGTTTGTTCTATGTTACCTTATTTTCACTTAGAACATCAACAAAACATATCATTTGACCAGACTGTGTTTGAAAAAGTATCGCATCTGAACACAACTTAAGTCAACATGCTTTTCCCCCCATATCACACAGTCAGCTCTGAGGGCCCATAAGAGTGTCCACCATCACTCAAACTGAGGCTAACAGCCCTAAAAGAGACATTAAAATCAACATCCGTAACAAATAAAGCCCCCATCACTGTGGAGGAGGCAGGACTGGCTTATCGCACCTCTGAGAGCCATCATGAGTGAAGGAGGAAGAGGAATAGGCGTCCCAGGTGACATTATGAATCAGACTGTTAAGCAACTCGGCTCTCGATCCCAGTCAATGATTTAAATCCACTCATAGAAGCAGGCAAGCAGTAAACAAGACCTTACATGTCTTGTTAAATGAATGTAATGACAAAGAAAAAAACAACAAAAAAAAAGATCAAAAAAAAGCAATAAAACAAAAATGGATGAAAAGAAAGAATGAAGGCAAAGCAATTTATTTATTCATGAACTTAAGTGTTTATTAACTGAGGAAATTGCATAAGGCCCAAACTGGAGCACTGATGTCTTCTGGTTTTCTGTTCAACAGCTCTTTTGCATTTGAAATCCCTGGACAGGTCGACCACTTAAATATATGGCAATTTACAGAACAAACCTAAATTAAATATGAATAGGCTGGGATCACTGCACAAAGGCCTCATTCAGGCCTATACAGTTACAAATCCACAGAGTTGGGCAACATATTTTAAAGGGAGTGATGACTTAATACTGTAAACATGGTCCTTTAGCAGAGCTCAGTACCACTGAGATTAATAACTGATCATCACATTGATTTATCAGTCTACTCAGGCTTTAGCAGAGCTCAGTAACACTGAGATTAATAACTGATCATCACATTGATTTATCAGTCTACTCAGGCTTTAGCAGAGCTCAGTAACACTGATATTAATAACCGATCATCACATTGATTTATCGGTCTACTCAGGCTTTAGCAGAGCTCAGTAACACTGAGATTAATAACTGATCATCACATTGATTTATCAGTCTACTCAGGCTTTAGCAGAGCTCAGTAACACTGATATTAATAACCGATCATCACAGTGATTTATCAGTCCACTCAGGCCCGTCTTAAAGAAGCAATTAGTTGGGATTTTAATTTGCACTTTAGAGAAGGCCTAATGATTTCTGAAAACTAAAAAAATACTTGTCTATAGTTATTTGTTGATATTTTTTCATTAGATTCATGCTTGTATTCAAACTCTGCAAGTATTACAGCACTACTTTTGTTTTATTAAAGTTCTGGATGGAAACAAAGGGCTAAATTCCATGGAAAATTGCTTAATCAGGAATTGTTTTTCTCCATGGTATCTAGGTAGGTTTTGATTTCCAACAGGCAGACCAATTTGTGAGAGAAACTATATAAAGATACGTCATTGACTTTCAATACAATCAATGAGTTGTTAGAAATGGAAAACAGAGGTGGCAGCGCTTTACCAGCCTCTCTACTGAAATAGACACTGCAAAGCTGCTACAAGGTAAAATATATGCCAATATGTAAACAAAGTGAGTTTAATCCAGAATGGCCAAAAAATTGCCCACATGAATCACCGTTAGCTTAGCGTTAACAAACTACTAGAATCCTAGGAAGAGGTAAAGGAACGCTAACAGAAGTTAGCATTACCATAAAGGTGGGTTTTTTCCCAGGTTTGGCTCAAACTGAAGGCCTAGCACAGTTCACCACTGGACTTTTGCATTGTTGCCACACCAAAAAAGTGTAAAATACTGAGGTTTCACTGCTCACAAGTTAAAAAGGGGAAACCAGTGGAAATAATGTCATAATGTTTACTAGATTTTCTCTTGTCTCATAGTAAACATTGCAATTTATCAGTTTATGAGAAGTGCCAGAATAACTGTTGTAAGAAGGTGGATCCCCTGGAACTGGGTCAGCGACCACTGATTCATACAATATACAGTGGAGGAAATAAGTATTTGATCCCCCACTGACTTTAAAAGTTTAATACAAAAAAATAAATGAAATGTCTCATAATTTTATGCCAGCTTTATCTTAACAGTGACACATAGAATATCAAAAGAAAAACTGAGAAAATTACATGAAATGAGGAATAAAAATTAATTTGAATTTCATTGAAGGAAATAAGTATTTGACCCCCTAGTAAAACATCATTTAATACTTGGTGGCAAAACCCTTGTTGGCAAGCACAGCAGTCAGACGTTTCTTGTAGTTTTTTATAAGGTTTGCACTTCAGGAGTAATTTTGGCCCACTCCTCTCTGCAGATCATCTCCAAATCCTTAAGGTTTTTAGGCATGCATTTGGGAACGCGAAGCTTCAGCTCTCTCCATAGATTTTCTATGGGATTGAGGTCAGGAGACTGGCTAGGCCATTCCATGACCTTGATATGCTTCTTATGGAGCCACTCCTTTGTTTCCTTGGCTGTATGTTTTGGGTCGTTGTTGTGCTGGAAGACCCATCCACGACCCATTTTCAGTGCCCTGGCGGAGGCAAGGAGGTTGTCACCCAGGATTTTGCGATACATGGCCCCGTTCATCTTCCCGTCGCTGCGGTGAAGTTGGCCTGTGCCCTTAGAAGAAAAACACCCCCAAAACATAATACTTCCACCACCATGCTTGACGGTGGGGATGGTGTTCTTAGGGTCATATTCTGTATTTTTCTTCCTCCAAACACGTCGAGTTCAGTTGAGGCCAAAGAGCTCAATTTTGGTCTCATCTGACCACAGCACCTTCTCCCAGTCTCTCTCGGAGTCATTAATATGTTCATTGGCTAAACTTGAGGCGGGCCTGGACGTGAGCCTTCTTGAGCAGAGGAACCTGGCGTGCACTGCAGGATTTTAAACCATTACGTCTCAGTGTATTACCAGTGTTTTTTTTGGAGAGTGTGGTCCCAGCTGCCTTGAGATCATTAACCAGCTCCTCCCGTGTAGTTCTTGGCTGATTTTTAGCCTCTCATGATCAGTGAGACTCCACGAGGTGATATCTTGCATGGAGCTCCAGGCCTAGGTCGATTGACAGTAATGTTGTACTTCTTCCACTTCCGAATAATTGCACCAACAGTTGTCACCTTCTCATCCAGCTTCTTACTTATGGCTTTGTAGCCCATTCCAGCCTTGTATAGGTCAACAATTTTGTCCCTGACATCTTTAGACAGCTCTTTAGTCTTGCCCATGGTGGAGATGTTGGAGTGTCACTGAGTCTGTTGGCAGGTGGCCTTTTATACAGGTGACAATTTGGGACAGGTGTCTCTAATGCAGGTAACGACTTCACTGAGATTAGGGTGTGTCAGTGGTCTGTGGGAGCCAACATTAGTCATGGTTTTTAGGGGATCAAATACTTATTTCCCTCAATGAAATGCAAATTATTTTTTATTTAAATATTATTTAATTTTCTAGATTTTCTTTTTGATATTCCATCTCTCACTGTTAAAATGAAGCTACCAAAAAAATCATAGACTGTTTAATTATTTGTCAGAGTACAAACTTTCAAAATCAGTGGGGGATCAAATACTTATTTCCTCCACTGCATGCCATTACAATAGCTCAGTAGTGAATGCTAACACCTATATTTTAGCTGAACCACTCACCTGCAGGTAGCGGATGTAGCCGGGAGTCAGGCGAGGCAGGCGGAAAATCATCTCTGCAGTGTATTTGATGCAGTCTGTAGGATGTGAAGGAGTACGTCTGCCTGTATGTAGGCTTTGAAGCACCACTTAAGAGTGACTGAGTGAGTGGCTGTGTCTGCTTTAGACTATCCCTCACAGTCTTTTGTATTTTTTCACTCTTTCGTCTCTCTCCAGCTCAAGCCAGGGCTTCCTAGAGGACACTCCTGAGCTGGGCACACGAGTTTGACTGCAAATTCCTACCCCAAAGGCTTATATAGACCTCCCTTCTTACGTAAACCCTGTGCGTGTCTCAATAGGATTAGAGGAAGAAAGGTCTTGCCATGGACTTGGACTTGGGTGCCATGACGACAGTGGCTGAGGTAATGAATTAGGGAGGGTGTTGTGGGGAGAGCTGTACGCTGGGTAACGTTGGCATTAAGGTTCCACAGATGAGGTAAACATGGCTGTATTAGTAGGAGCAGGCAGAGGTGAAGACGTTCTTTGTTATAAATCAGGAGTCAACTGTTGCCAATCAGGTGGCGGCAGACAGGAGAGACAAGTGACAAGGTCACAAGCCACATCCAAAATCAAGAACTGACCCAAACTGGAACAAACGGAACTTACAGTTCTAGTTCTAGGTCATTGTCTACCTGCTTTAGAGACAACTGGAGCTGTCATAATAAGTGCAATAAAGGGTTTAATCATCTTGTTGGCAATTTTATACCACGGTAATAGTCCAAGTCTAAAACAGGGGTCGACAACTCAGAATAATCCCTCTTTGCAGTGAAATAAAGCTCTGCTGATCATTCAACACAGTTTTAGCAATAAACTGTTTCAAATGCTGGAGTTAATGTGGCCTATATCCGCTAATTCACCAACCTTTAACACTGATGATCGGTGCGCAGACTGCTGGTCACTATAGCAACACAGACAACAATCTGGCCTAGCTAGTAGCTAATAAAACGGCAAAAATTTAAGATGAACATCGATAATCTGAAGACTACTTGATTTATGTGCATTTATTAGCACTCAGTGGTTTCCTGATACATTTAATGTGCAACAGGAAACTGTCAAACACTAAAAAGTCTTGAAGCTGACATTTTTTCCGTTCCACTCTAAAATGGTGCAGCAGGTACTTTCTGGTGGAATTTAAGATGGAACGGGAAAATTAGAATAAGAAGCGACTTCAGCCTTGCAAAAAATCTAACGTTGAGAGATATTTTACAAGAAACTGTTCTACTTCTGCAGAAAAGTTTCCTGCCAGAGATGCGAGAAAAGCGGCTATAGCTGAGCCAAAGCTTAAAGCAGAGCAAACTAAGTCTGTGTTTTTATTTATATTATATTTTTAGCCTATACTACAGGGAGATTCACTCGAAAAAGGCCCCAAATATTCTGTAATAACTCTTGCTAGATCTGAACGAAACAATGTGCAATGTGCTCCTCAGTATATGGGGCTTTGAACAAGCCAGGATGCCCCTGCATCGGAGCGATGAGGTAGGCGCCAGACAGCCGTCGCAACATTTAACCTCCGTTTGCAACTTCAGGAACATGGAGCGCCATGTCGAAATGTGTCTGGCAGAAGAGATCACTTCCAGCATCGCATGTAATGCAATCGATTATACATACGTCAAGGTATGGAGTGTATTTTTTGGTTCAGATTGCTTCATCCTAACGGAAGTTAATCTCACTGTAGCGCATTAGCACATACTGAGACATATTTACAGCCAAGATGGTAAAATGGACATAAAATCTCAAGGAGGTTAGATTTTCGTAGAAAGGACAAAATAGCTTTTCTTAACAATTGGGTTGCCGACCTCTGGTCTGAAACATCAAATTTGGCTAAATAGCTATCTTGCTTATTATCTTTAGCTTAACACTTGGTGCCCTTAATGAAATATAGAACATTTTTCTGCACTGACATTATGACCACTCGTTCTGTGGAGGGCAGCCTAAATACTAATAACGTTAATGTTAGCCTTCTAACTAGCTTATATCAACTCAGGGAACTCTTTACAACGTGATAATGCTAAAAACAGTAATCAAGACATCAAAATACCATCCTAGTTCACATTCTCGTGCACTTTTTGGTCATGTAATTGTGTGGTGGCTTTATCCTCACCTGGAAGTAAAGAGTTTGCCAAGTTGTCTGTGGCTTCAGATGCTACCAAAGGCAGAGATGAACATCCTCAGGTACCATTAGCTCCTGTTGGCGCACCCATAAAACCCACTGAATGATCCGGGCCTGCCAACAGGAGCTAATGGTATGAGGATGTTCGTCTCTGCCTTTGGTAGCATCTGAAGCCACAGACAACTTGGCAAACTCTTTACTTCCAGGTGAGGATAAAGCCACCGTTTTTGGCTGATTGTAATCCTGATGCTCTCCACGTTGTTCCTGAACGTCCTCTTCATTTTCCTCTTCAATCACTGTTTAGCGACCGTTACACTGTCCACCATTACCTCAGTCAGGGTTTTAGCAGTGAGCTAGTGTTCCTTTGAATGTACTTTGAATTTGAAGCTCTAGACATTTAAAAGATGTGCCTGGGGGATCTATAAAAGCGAGACAGAGTAGAGGGCTCCCTTTACCTAAGCCTACTAAGTTACACTGTTCTTGTCTACAGTGATCTGCAAACTGCTGTGGCAGTATGCTTTATCATTTGGGCTTAAGTTTGCTGCTTTTTTCTGTCTTTAGTGCGTTTCAGCTGTCTGTCTTTTAGTTTAGGTCATCTTTGTTGGGGCAAATGTGTTGCTTTGAGGAGTGGATGGAAGCTTCACAGAGCAATGTTGCATTGGTTGCTGGGTTTATATTGGGAAACTGTGCTCTTGTTAATGTGTGTGTAATCTTGGTATAGTTTTGTCTTGATAGGAAAAAAATATGTGTTTATAGGGGTAGCCATCCTGGTGGTGCTCAAGCCTTGCGTTGCCTGCTAGTGGCCCACCAAACATTTGTGCTCAGGGGCTGATAACTTGTTGATCCAGGCCTGCCTGTTGGTACAAATCTTGACAAGGTACCGAAAACCACAAAAACCATAACCCTCAGTACTCGACTGGTGGCCAAAGGAAAAAATAAACAGTTTACTGGTGCCAAAGGTTCCGGTACTTTGTGCATCACACAAGCCAATGCTTAGCATCTTGGTGGCACTCAGAAGCCCCTAAAGCTTTCCCCTTTCCCCTTTAATGGGCAGCCCATGTTCAAGCCATCCATCAGCTCCTGCATCAGTGCATTTCACGTCTATTTCACCATCTATTTGTAGTTGGTGTGAGTTGTTTGTCATCATTATGCAGTTCTCCTGTTGATGGCTTTTTAGTTGACCTGTGTAGCAGTGGACACTCAAAACTGTATCGTAGTCTGTTGTGATATTACAACACAAATATAGCCACTTTATTTACTATCGAAACAACAAGTGAACACGTCTCTTCTGAGTTTTTATGTTAACGTTGATGATACTAAGACAGCGGTAAAACAGAAACATTTTTTTGGGAACTATTTTGCCTTACCACGTCCTGCATGTACCCCTCCGCCATGAATGGACTTTAACACATATGTTTTAAGGCCAAAACCTGTCTATATATCTAACATAAAACAATGTCATAAGCACCAGACAACATATCACCGCTGTCAGAAGAAAACCTTGAAGAAAATCTCCTAAATAGTAACTTTACAGGAGAAGGAAAAAACCTACTTTACTTTTAATGTAAGTCAATGGAACCAGACATTTTTTCAAGTCATTTTGGGTCATTTCTTTTAGTTCATTCATCGTGAAATATACATACAATGTAAAGGGTAACAGGTATTTTCAAATTATGTAAAAGTCTGAAAAACATAAAAAAATGGAGGTATCTTTCTTCCGACAACAGCGATATTCTTAACCATTGTATTAAAGCAACAGCTTTCTGTGATGTAGCTTTTAGACACATTAAATGCTGCAGACGTCTGGTTCCTATCACCACTACTGTGAACAAGTCTGACTTGATTAGAATTTAACCCTTCAAAAAAAGACGATACAGGCAAGACAAGCTTGGGTATGAAGGTTGATGTAATTGGGGTCAAACTTAGTTAGAAAGGACAAGTGTATTATGGTTCTGTCCACCACGCAGAAGCAGCAGCTAAATGGTCCCTATACATAAGGAGACAAGATAGTTAAGTAGATGGTTAGTGTCTGTGAAGAGGCCAAGTCTCAAAAATGGCCTACTCTCCAACTTGGGGTCTAATCCACAGGTCAGTCAAGTGTCTTATGTTAGACAGCTGCATTCAGGGTGCACTAATCCAGGTGAGCAAAGGTGCTTTGTATTTCAATCACACAACTAAACATCAACACAACTCCAGAACCTCTGGTCTAAAATCATGCCCCCAAACCACAGAGGCAGCTGCTGCACCGAGTGCTGAGATAACAGCCTCTTATTTCTGCGGATGTTTGCTTTTGTATGCTGCTCACTCAGCGACTTCCTAAAGGTTTAATATCCACAGGACGGAGGCTCTGCCAGTGGGTTTTAATATCCCAAGGCCTTGGGTCCTTGCTCTTGCTTTAATAACGCCCGACTCCCCAACTTTGCTTCTGCATGCTAATCGGCCTGGCTCTGGGGCCGGACCTCTGGATATTAATTCGTCCAAGCTCTGGGGGGGTGTGCCTCTGGGTTTTAATATGCTCCAGTCTGGATCCTGCCTTGGGGCGTTGACGATAAGAGCCAGAAATGAGGAGAATGTTTAGAATGCTCTTAGCAGAAAACGCTGAGTGCTAAATTCCTCCATGCAGGCTTACAGAAGCCTGACTGACTAGTAGGGCTGAACAATATTGCTCACATACCATTTCGGCTGCAATATGTTTTGTAATATATTAAAAAGACAATGGTGAACCAATATGACAAAGATGGGTGCACATTTTTTTGTCTTTATTAAACCTTAGAAAGTTTTTTGTTTTGCTATACTATTAAAATGTGATTACTTGGCATACGACCTAGCCTAGCAACAGCCTGGCAACCACCTGGGATACCACAGCGAGTGCCTATCAACACCTTAGCAACCACATGGGATACAATAGCAACTGCTTTGCAACATCCTAGCAACCACCTAGGATACCATAGCAACACTTTATCAACTTCCTGGGATATAATAGCAATGGCCTAGCGACTTCTTAGCAACCACCTGATATTCCATAGCAATGACGTTGTCAAGCCAACTTAAAGTTTGTGTGTGGGGCATACCAGGCAAGTTCTTTTGGCATTTTAACCCTTAGAAATCTGGAGTTATTCATGTTTTT